AAGGTTGCTTGACTGAAGTTGAGGATGTGTGAAAGGCCTAAGTCTGATCACTGGCTGTGTTCCCAGGCTTCCTTCCATCTGTTGATAAGCAATGTAGGTGGGAGGATATGCCATATTTGATAGAAAGCTCTAAAGCAAAGACTTGCCTATAAAGATCCCTGAGGTATCTCTGATCACTCTGACCTGTCACCACCATCATATTCATTCTCTGTCTCCCCCTCTCCCTTTTGCTGGCAATTTTCCTGTGAGAAAAACCTATTTGAATGTACAAAGGGACATTATTCAAGATGGATGCTAGTGTCTTTTTAAAGTGAAGAGCTCAACATCAGCAAGCACTGCTGAAGAAGAGGCTCATCCTGGCAATTCTTAACTCCTCCACCAAATCCTTCGGGATATCACAAAGGAACCTTCCTCCCCCCATATGCTGGACACTGATTTCCTACAGGCAAAGTTAATACTTGCATATTGCGAAGCATTTTGAACCTACTGGGTTTCTTGCCTGGAAAGTTCTGACAGTGCATGCTGGATTTCAGAGAGAATGTTTTTTTTTTGTTATTGAGGAGGTGGGGCCGGTGTGCTTCATTGTCTCAACTGACAACAAGTCCTGACTGCAGCTTTTCTTTCCTACTTAGGATGTGACATTGAAATTCTGATATTGCCCTCACTGGAAGGTGTGATGGGAGACAAAGAACTACTACACCAGCCTGTGTTGTGTTGCAATACAGTAAAAAGCTGGTGTGAATACTCCAACAATGTTTATGATGTGGAGATCCATGACTGCAAGTTCTACCTGCCAGTTGCTTTCCACTGTGAATGGCACATTTCTGGTATTTTCTGAATACTTCTTCCGTCTCCTTCATACACATCCTCCTTCAGCTGAGTACATATATTCCAGGACCACTTCAGAAGAACATGAAAATACCTCTCATAGAGCCATGCCTGGGGCTAAAAGTGAGGAGGTAAATGTCAGAAACATTGCCAAAGGCGCCTAATCTTCCCTGGGAGGCTGGCTGCAAATATTCAGTAGAGGTCACCAAACTGTATAGGACACGACGGATTTTGCTCAGTATTCTTGTGTGCAGAAACCTTCAGAGAGGGGAAATGTTCCCAGCCACTGCCCCAGAAAACACTGGGGTTCCGACAGTAGAGAGAGAGAAATGGCAAGGGAAGGGATATGGAGTTTTGTCAGGCTCTGGTATGAAATTCCATTCTTTTCTGGCCCGGTAATAAACAGCACATGGGTCATTTCCTAGTATAGACAACACCTGCTGCTAATATTACCTGTTTGATTCACTTGAAGACTTACAATGAAAATACACCAAATCTAAAATTCTAAATATATAATCAGAGTTTAATAACATCATTGATTTATTTTCTGGATTATGAATTACACCCTCCCCCCTCCCTCCCCTTCCCCTTCATCTCTGTCCCAAAACTTGTTGACCTGTCAGAACTAAAATAAACAAAGCAACCAGAAAAGATCACTTATAGGAGAAAGGATTAACCTGATGGACACATGGTCTAATCTACTGTGGGAGAAGGCAAAATACCAGACTCCTGTGTTTAGACCAGTGGTTCAGTCCAGAATTTCCAGTTCTTCTTTTCTGGTTGCCCTAGAGCATTCATTTGAGTGGTTTGTGGCACAGTTATATTTGCAGAGCACTCAGAGTGTTAACAGTGCTACAACAGTATCAATACTAGATAATGATTTTGGCAAACTCTCATTTGCCAATCAGTGGAACAAGGGACAGAGCAGTCCGGAGAAAATACGAACCAACTTTCAACCCGGAACACAAAAATCGGAACCTTTAAGAAGAGATTTGAAAAAAGTTCCATTAACTTCTTTTTGGTTTGTTTTCAGCTTAATTTCCCTGCAGAGCCACCCTCCAGGTTTTCTTGTTCCAGGTGGGGAGGGAGGGAAAAGTACCAAGATAACCACCAAAGAGATTAGCTGCCCTCAACAGCTGTCAAACTCCCCCGCCCCAAGCCCTTAGGAAATACCAGAAATTAGCACAAGCTTTCCCAGGTCCAAGATTTCTAAACCAAAGTAGCATTGGAGAAGTCTCTTAATGTCAAAGTGATGGTCCAACCTGAGCGGCCAACTTGATGGTTCACCCCACTACTATCAAGACAGTGTAGTGCCTTGAGGCCCAAGCTCCACAGAGAGATGCTGGTACAGAGAGTTTATATGCAAAAAGGAATTAGGGGTGTTCCCATCAAAACATGAAACCCTGCTGGCAAGGCTTGAAGTGACGTTCCGGCGTCTTCCATTCATGAAGATAAAGGTGACAGGGCAATACAGGGGGCCTCAGGGGAACACAACACACATGGGTTTCTCTCTCTCTTTCTCTCTCTCTCTTTTTTTTTCTCACTCATACGGCCTCGACCTGCGTAAACCGCTTCCAAAACGTAGCCTGAAAAGTCATAGAAAACAAACAAAACAGAAACAAACTTCCCCTCCCTCCCACCCCACGACCTGAATATTCACGAGAAGAGAAACACCAATTTATACAAAAATGCAATAAAAAAGAAATATTTACAAATGAAAGGAACGCCTTCTTGGTGGCTGCTGTCAGAGGTGTCTGACAAGTTGCCGTGTGTTCTGGATTGCAGATCGCTCTGTTAATTTGTTTGGTTTCTTTTTTTTTTTTTTTTCTTTTTTTTTTTCCTATTTGTTCTTGTAATTAGAGAAGAGGGAAAGAGTAAGAAGTTCCCTTACCTCAAAGACTAAGGGGTGGCATCACAAAGACTCTCCCCTTCTTCCCTCCTTAATTTCCTCAGTGAAATATAAGAAAATATTCCCATCACCAACCCTGCCCACCCTCTCCTCACACTCTTCGACTTTACAGGTAAATCCCACCCTTCCCCACCCCAGCTTAAAAAATAAATAAATTAAATAGGTAAATAAATAAAAGGCCTTCTCTTGGCTTAAAAAGAGAAAGATAAGATAAAATCAACCATGGTGTGGTGAGGAATGTGAGAGAGGTGTCTTTCAGCTCCAAGAAATGTGGCTCATAAAGACAGGGCTACCATCTCCCTTCAGAGTAAACCCCCAGCAGTGTACCCCTGCTCTCAGCACAGGACTCTCTCAACCCTTCCTTCCCCTGGTGAGCCACGGTGATTGAGACACTGGGACAGACCCAGAATAAGCAGTAGAGACTTTGCCATATCTCTCAGGAGGGAGAGGTAAGTCCACACCCCCACCTCAGGAGAAAGATGACATATGAAAGGGGTGTTCAACTTCTCACTCCTACCATTGCTCCTTTTCCTTTAGTTTAACTTGCATCTAAAATGATACAATGGAAAGAAAAAACACTCTTATCGATACTAAGTGCACCAGGAAAGCTGTCACTACAACTGCAGGGATGGGAAACCCTAGGCTATTCCAGCTTTGCACCTGTGCTAGTATCTTTCTCTTGCACACAGAGGCACACACACATGCACACACACATCTCAGCTTTGCACGTCCTCTCTTCAGCCTTCAGCACAAGCTTCTGTGCTCTCTGGCATTTATTCAAGCATACCCCTTCCCAGGAAGACAAGCTGTGTACTTCCTCTGTACATTCAATAGTAAATATACATATGTATTTCCCAAGGGTGCATACACCCTCCTCCCATTTCCACATGTGCGAGGAGGCATTGAAACAGTCCACCAGCACCACTGCCATCACACATACCCTTCTACGAAATTTCTTTTTAACTCTCCAGCACCATGCCAGCATTGGCAGAGGGCACCCTATTCTTTTTGTTCCAACCTGTTGGCCAAGAGTAGGGAGAGCAGAAGGATGAAATCCCTTTTTTTTTCCTCCCCTCCTCACTGAAAGAACATGACCAAAATGGGTTTGGTGTCCCCTGAAGTGACAGTGAAAAAACTCCCCACCTTTCCCTACTCTTAAATTCCATTCCACTGTGTTTGTTCTCCAGACACCTTACAGGATCATGTGTTTATTTTGCTTTCTTCACAGACATTTCAAGTATAAAGTTATCATATATACTCGCATATAGGCCAACCCATACTATATACTGCTCCCACCCTTGAAGTATGTCACACCTAGTGAGCAGTTCGCAGCTAATGAACCAACCCTGTTCCCTTTTCCCAAACTCTTCCCATTTCAGTGCAAACCAGCATCTTTTGTCAGAGTTTGGAGAACCAACCCTGGAATCAGAGAGGCTGCTGATCAGCTTTCCCAAACTCAGACTCCACTGTCTATCTATCTCTCCCACTGGTCTGCCACAGATTCAATGGCTGTAATAGCCGAAGTGAAACCACTAGCCTGACCTGCAGACAAACCTTCTCTCCCTCCCTCCACACCCCCCCAGCAGACAATTCAAAATTCTAGCGTAAAACTTCTCAGTATATACGCAAATATATATATATATTTCAGCCCTAAACCCCCATAGTCTTCACAAAATAATGTAACAAGAACCTCAATATAGCTAACATATAAGTGCATCATCAAGTTAGTCGTGTTATTCCCCCTTCACTTTCTCCATGTCTTAAACACTATTCCTTTGTAGGCAGTTTTAGGAAGAGTTGCCTGAGCAAGCACATTTTCCTGCATGTCCATTACACTGCTTCTGCTGCCTCCTCCTGACACACACACACGTGTGTGTGTGCACATGCCTTTCTCTGCTGGGAGCCAGCAGAAGTGAAACACTACAGTCACTGCTGCTCCTCCTCAGCCCATCCCTTCCCTGCCATCTTCTCTGCTTTCTGAAATCACAAGCAAGGATATCCAACTCCGACATCATTGTAAAGTGCAATGGCCAGGAATGGAGAGGAAGAGAATGGGAGGAGCGAGAACATGGAAAAAGAGATAAAACGGGAGGGTTGAGAAAGGGGAGGAGGAAGAGGGGACACCAAAGAGGTGGCACTTGTCACCAGTGCTGCACTACTCAGAACTCCAGTATCCCACAAACTAAGGACGACTCAGAAGAGTAGCTGATGGGATTGATCCCACCCCACCCTCCCATGCCCCACATACACCCCCAGTCCCTCCCCACGCTCTTCCCTTCTCACTCAAACATCAGACTCAATACTGGAGAGTTTCTCATAAACATGCCCGTTGCTGGAGCCATTGAAAGCCCTGGGGTTTTTGTTGTTAGGCACACAGGGGTTGGACTGGTTCCCTATACAGATGTCCTTCTGGAAACGGGCTGGCACAGCCCCATGAAGGGCTGAGACCACCGGCTTGTTGGTGGTGACAATGGCTCGGAAGTCTGGCCTGGCTTTGGGCCCTCCTGCCACCACAGGCTGCCTGAAGAAATAAGATTTGCTGCCGTGGAGCAAGCATTGGTCATCCCCAAAAGTGGGGATGAAAGGGTTTTGGGTGACCCGGTCGGGGTAGAGCGACTTGCTGAGCATGTAGCCCCCACTGCTGCCGGGGTTGTTGTGGTGGTGGTAGCTGGTGGCGGGCACTGAGGACTTGTTGTTGGCAAAGGTGGTCTCACTAGCTGGCATCTCAAACATGTGGGCGTAAGGGCTCCCCTCCAAAAAGCGGCCCTTGTCCTTGAGGCTGACGCTGCGGGGGGCCAAGGCTGAGTCATCCTTCTGCAGGTCCACAAAGGTGTCATAGGAATGCTGCCGGCGGAGCTTGTTGCGGGTCTTCTTCTGCACCTTGGAGGCAGAATTGGAAGGGCTCTGAGGATATTTGGAGGAGGAGGTGGCACTGGTGGCCACGGGCACAGGGGCAGGTGGCTGGTCCAGCTCTTGGAGCGAGTTGTCCTCACTGATGTCATACAGGTTGCCCGCTTTCTTGCAAGCCTCACAGCGGATGCAGGCCTGGCGGGTGGAATTCTGACCCACCACTGATGGCGTGTAGTTGTGCAGCTTAGAAGGGCAACTGCGGCAGAAATTAGCCCCGGTCCGGTCCTCCCAGTCTAGATTGGTCAGGTTCTTCTCCCATGGCGCTGGGACCCCACTCACAACACCATGCTTGTGCTCATTGCTTCCGCCAAACTCGCCCGAGCCGTGCTTGTGGTGGGCCCTGTTGGTGCAGGATTGACCCCCTCCTCCTCCTCCTGTGTCCCGCTTAAACTCATCTCCCCGCTCTTTGTAGATATCTGTCAGGTCCACATGTTCCCAGTGCGGTGAGTTCTCCTTGGCCCGAAACTGGTCTAGGTAGAAGTCCCGTAGCCCTTCCTTGTCCCTGAAGTAGCGCTTGTGGTCAGGTGAGCGGGGCGGGCGCCGGCGGTAGGCCAGCTCTATCTCATCAAACTCCCGCCGGGACTTGGCAGAGGCTGGGCGCTTCTTCAGGCTGTCCTTGTACTGCTGCTTCCGCCGTTTGGCCGCATTGCCCTCGATGTTGCCATAGGTGACCGTGTGAGTGGAAATGTCTGAAACATCTGAGCGAATCAGGTCATCATGGGTCCCACTGCCCCCATAGCGGTCACTCTTGAAGGAGAATTTGCCATAGAGGTCACCCAACTGGCTGTGCTTGGCAGGAGGTAACCCCAGGTCCAAGGGCTTCTTCCCGACGGACCGTGACTGGGCATTGAAGGGTGGGTTGTCACAGTCATAGAGCCCATCAATGGAGCTGGTGCTGCCGATGCTATGGGGGCGGTGGTGGTGGTGGTAGTGGTCCTGATACACATTGCTGTCCTTCAGCTGCAGGTTGCCAAAGGTCCTTTCCACCTCACTAATATAGTCACTGAAGAGGTTCTCCTCACAGGGGGGGTTGTTGTAGGACTTACAGTCTGAGTGGGTGAAACTGCGGCGGTGCTCAGAGATATCATAGACCGATGACTCGCGGCGGATAAAGTCTAGGGCACTCTGTGGTGAGCCATTGACCCCTGACAGGTTGGCCATGTTCTTGGCTGTCCGAAGCAGGCGGAGGATGTTGGAATGAGTGTTGTTCATAGTCGCAGTGGGGGAGTTCATTGCTGACTGGCGTTCTTCGATGGCCACGCCGTGGATGCAGCTGTAGATACCCTGAAATGAGAGAAACCAGGAAGGTGAGTGGTCCTGCAAAGAATACACAAAAGGGGACCTGGACTGGGAAGCACCCTGTGCAGCATGAGCATGTTTCTGTAGGACAGTAAGGCCTGTCAGCCTTCCATCATTGAAACACAATCAAATCAAATTAAATCAGATCTGCTCTTGATATTCTGCCCCTCTTTCTTGCCGCTCACATTTTTTCCTTTTCCTCCATTCCTCTTCCTCTGCTTTGCTTCATGTCATATCTGTAGGATGCAGTAATACCTGCTTGCATCCGCTAAGAGTTAGTCAAATCTAGTAGGTGTAATGTAGAATCGCAAATGGGGACAATAATATCCTTGGGAATAAAAGCATCAAGACAAACAATTCTGTGTATATAAGAGTAAGAAAGTCCATTTTGGCCCTTGAAATTCATCTGGACATCAGGGAATCAACGAGGCAGGAGCTATCTTAAAAAGGGAACAACTTCATTTGTCATAAACTTAGCTACATTAATCACCAGTACAGATTAGAAATGGATACAGAGAAAGAGCAGGACTGTTGAATTCGTATTTAGGCCTTTTGCATCTGATTGACTGAGGTACAACAGAATTTTTAATTGCATTCTGTTAAATTCAACAGTGATAACAGGTTTCAAACTGAGATCCCTGAAAGTCCTCTATTCACCTTCAAATCAGACAGCAGAAGTTCCCAGTTCCTCCACATGCTCCACAAGCTTATTTCATCCATGACACAGACTGTTTGCAAGGGCTACCCCTAAGAACAGAAGGGGCTCCTTTATTCCCTGGCCTGCTAAATGGCATCTGATGGTTAATGTCAATTGTGAAATGGACACCATCACACCATGTTACCATGGTTTCTCGGTAGCTAGCAGATGATTAACACTTTTCAGATTTTTTTGTCAACCTGGTCCACGTCTAACAGATAACCGCAGAATGAAAGACTCCGTACTTAGCTAAGGATCACCAAACTCAAGTCCCCATCTTATATCCAGACTAAACCATGTTAGAAACTAATATAGAAGAGAGGTTGTGCCTCTGCATTCAAAAGACTTTGTCATTTCTCCTCAATATGTTATGCAGCAATTATATACTCCTTGCACAATCAAAGTAAATTCTGTTACATCAGACACTGACCTAAAAAATGCCAAGATTTGACCTTACTTCAGAATGGATCAGGAGAAAGGACGACTGTCTTGAAAGAAGGGAAAAAAAAACCCAAATGGGATACTGCTAACAACACTGATAGGAGAAAGATGACTCAGAAATGGCTAGAATCTGCTTTAAATGTAAATGCTATACCCTAAGGTAGATTTGCATAAAGCAATTGCTAAGTTTATGTGGTCATCCTCTCTCAAAGGATGTCTGTACGGTTTAGGGCACGGCTTTTGGTTAAGGACTTCTGGCTGTTAATGATGGCACACTTGTAGTTAACAAAAGGTCAGATGAAAAGCTGTAATATAGGGGACAACGTGTTATCCACCATTACATGAACCCAAATTTGGGGTGGTCCCCAAATTTGGTCTCCTCACAAGGAGTTCCTCCTTCAGAGGAGCAGCCAGTAACAATTACCTTCTCTTTATACTGCATTTTCATTTCCATGACTGTAATCCAACAGAGACCAGAGATGTCACAGAAAAACTTAACACATTTTTGCAACATTAATGGTGCAAAGACAACAGCCTTTATCCTGCAGACTGTCACCCTATGCCACCTGTGTGTTAGACAGTCTTGGTGGATTTTCCCATCTCCAGTACCTAGGACTGTCTGAATAAATCCTCTGTTCTTTCCTGGCAGTTAATGACACTCACCCTACTGATGGAGAAGACCACACCAGGCTTGCCAGAGCAGACGCCCATGAAGCAGTGGCGGAATTGCCAGTAGAAGAGGTGCTCACAGATGAAGGTGATGAGACTGAGGGCCATGGCTGCTCCCAGCATGTAGAAGACACCTGCCATGTTATCTATATCCAGCTGGCTGCTCATAACCTCATTCTTCTCATTGTGACAAATGCCAGTGAGCCAGAGAGCTTCCAGCTCCTCCATCTCCCCTAGAAAGACGGACAGAAGGAAAGAAACAGGTTAGATAGTCCTGCAGTAGCTAAAGAGCTCAAACTATGAATTGAAAGGGTGATTGAAAGCAAGAATCTGATCTATGGTAATTTCCAGTCTCCATGTTCTTTTTCCACATTTGTAACATCCATAAAATATCTTGACTGCCCATCTGATGGGGGCAAGTGCAATTTGTCACAAGAAGGTCAACAGGATTTTTCCACAGTCAGATACTAGCCATAAAAAGCCTACCACAGGACACAGCTATTACACTTGATAACTGTCTACAGTGAGATCCTGAAACAGTTTCCCACCAGATGACTGAAGACCTGGCTTCACAAACCTCCACTATCATTAGGTTAATGAAGGTCAAAATTAGTGACTGATACTGGTAGACAAAAATGAATCACTTTAAAATGAAAACATTGTATATTTCCAACCCAGTATTCAAAATGTTGATTTTTTAAAATGAAATTTGTTTCTATCATATCCACAGCTCATTACAACTAGGTGCAATTGCAATGTACCCAAAAACATTTAAGGATTTTCACCTGTTTTTCTTCCTCTCCATTTTGTCCAAATTCAACACTTCCAAGCCCTTTGACCAATCAAAAACATTACTAATTTGTATCAGCTAGGAGCAAATGTTCTGCAGTCTAATTTCATACACCACTTACTCCCATTATGGTATTTTCATGAACGGTGAGAGAGAGATAACACACACACACACACACACACATATATTGAGACATTCAGAACAAACTAATTTTGCAGGTTGGCAAATTTTTTCATGCTGTTAGGAAAGTTAGTTTTTCACATTTTCAATCTCCTGTCCAGTGACAAGGGGGAAAAATTCCATATATATATATGAGATGCTATAACAGACTCTTTGAAGCTTATAGAGAACTTATATCTTTTTCTGAAACAACATATATTAGGCTGTTTAGGAAACAGAACGCCCTATCTGCCAGGCAGCCAATTTTCTGAAGTATATCCAACTTAAGTTCTTTCCATATTTATAATACCATACGTTATTTTCTGAGTTCAGGAAAAAAGGAATACTTATAAATAAAATAACGTGAATTCTATTTATTCAAAAAAAGTAAATTAAGAGATGAACTAGGTAACTCTAATGTTCCAATTTAAAACTCACTCCAAAACTCCAAAACATGAGTCTCAAGTTCTTCCTTGGTTTTGTTATTTTTTGAGGTTTTGGAAATTCTGGGCTAACTCTTTCATTCAGAAATATTTATCCTTTAATTCTGTAAACTCTACATGGATTGATCCTATCTAGAACTATAAAGTATGAAATAACCATAGACAGTATAGTTAGTGGGTTTGGTCATGGCAAAACTGCAAAGGTAGTAAAAAGTTCATAACAGAAATCTTGTTTTTACAAGACATTCTTCACATAAGGTATTTTTTCAAACACACATCTGAGCTTGTTCTATGAAAACTTCAGTGCTTTTGACATTGCTTTTGTGATACTGCTACCCTGCATCAACAACGTAAAAGAAGCGATATCCTCACATTTTTGGTGTGATGCCTCTAAACAAACCTTTTTAATAATTTCATGTTTTCAACTCAAATCTGAAGCACCAGAGCTAGAAACTTCCATTTCTTACATGCAAAATTTGGCATTTCTTAGGAAAATTCCAGCACTTCTTTTTCTTGTCACTTACCATCTCCAAAAAGCTGTAGAATGGCAAGATCAACCTGGCGCTTCCAGCCTGAGTCCTTTTGAATGGCAATGCCATAACCAGTGGAGGCAAACACTTTCCCACTTCCAATTGTCACCAGTTTGCAACCTTCATCTCTGCCAGCCATGTAGTTTAGCACTGCTGCATCATAAATGAAAGCATCCAACTTCCTGCACAGATGGAAGAAGCAAGAGGGTGTATTACAGAAAGCATAGAATCTGTAGGAATTCAAAGGTGTTCTCAGGTAATTAAGGCTGAAATTAACCTCTTTCAGATGGATTACAATAGGTTACATAGAATCACAGAAAGGGTTGGGTTGGAAGGAACCTTCAAGATCATCTAGTTCCAACCGCCATGATGTCCAACCCCAAGAGACACCTTTCACTAGACCAGGTTGTTCCATCCAACCTGGCCTCAAACACTCACAGGGACAGGGCATCCACTTCACCACCTCACAGTAAAAAGCTTCACACCATCACATGGAATAATATTTTCCTAATACCTAATTTAAACTTACTCTTACATTGAAACCATTCCCGCTTGTCCTGTCACTACATGCTCTTGTAAAAAGTCTCTCTCCATCTTTCTTGTAGGTTCCCTTCAGGTACTAGGAGGTCACAATTAGGTTACCCCAAAGATTTCTCTTTTCCAGGCTGAACAATCCCAATTCTCTCAGCCTTTCCTCATAGCAGAGGTGCTCCATCCCTCTAATCATGTTGGTGGCCCTCCTCTGGACTTGCTCCAAAAGGTTGATGTCTCCTTCCTGTGGTGCAGATCCCAGAGCTGGATGCAGCACTGCAGGTGGGGTCTCTTGAGAGCAGAGAGAAGGACAGAACCCCCTCCCTCGACCTACTGCCCAGGCTGCTCTTGATGCAGCCCAGGATACACCTGGCTTTCTGGGCTGTGAGCTCACATTGCCTGGTCGTGTCCAGCCTCTCATCCACCAGTACCCCCAAGTACTTCTCTGCAGGGCTACTCTCGATCTGTTCATCCCCCAGCCTGGAGGTTGGGGGTTGCCCCAACCCTGGTGCAGCAACTTGCACTTCGTCTTGTTGAACATCATGAGATTCCTATGGGTCCATTTCTCAAGCTTGTCCAGGTCCCTCTGGATTACATCCTGTCCTTCAGGTGTGTCATCTTCACCTTCACCAAAGTTAACTAAAATCTGAGCCCAGAACCTGTTTACAGGTAGAAGCTGGATTATAAACAAGGATTGTCTATTTCTTTCTGACTTTTTGGTAATCACAATTTCTGATCTGAAGGAAAATTTGGAATAAAAATATACTGCAAGATAAAGCTGAATGAAGAGGAAGTCAAGAGGATCTATATTCCATTAATAGCTTATATTTCTGTACTGCCTGTAATCTCAAAAGAATCTGAAATGCCTTATAAAATGTATCAATATTAGATAGCAAAGTAGGGGTTGAAGTAAGGAAAATATTATCTCCAATTCAAACTGCAGGCATGCCTTAGCTGAGCAAAATGTCTTTTTTCAAATCAAATACAGTCGGGACATTATGTTTAACCCCTCAGTTACTGTGAAAAGCACTACTGGATCTTTACCAGTGTCAAGTGGCTACAATAGCAGCTTCATGGTTTACCATGATGACTAGCTCCTTGTTAAAAAATGCTTAGCTGAAAACCACAACAAAAATTCTGTTTCAACACAAAGAAATCCCCATTACGGACTGTGCTGGGTAGACAGCACAGCTGACTGATGAGAGCCTTCTCTCACTGCAACAAATTGATTTGGATGTGGGGGGCAGTCTCAGAGTGCTGCATCTTCCACATATCCAAAGACAGCTGATGAGTAAATCCTCCCACTAGATCTGAAATGAAACACATTCAGATAAACGACCAAAGACCTTCCGCTTGCACATTCTCAAATGCACACTATCTTTACAATCCACCTCCTGCACATATATTTCCAGTATACTGATTATCTGAGTTCAAGTGCTTATCTGTGAGGAAGTCTGTCCAAGGGTGGATATGAAGCCAGGATGACATCTACCAAAAGTGATGAGCTCTATTTCATCCATATATTTCCAGGACAGAGCATATTTATTTCCTGGATGATGACTATCCTGGCAAATGTACCTTCCTAGGATGACATCCAACGATGGTACAACCATTTATAAGGGGTTGCATGCCTCTGAACCTGGCAAACAGGTTTAGCAATATTCAGTCAATCTAGTAATTAAATTGGCTGAACATTTTCATTGTGCTTTGGAATGAACTTTCTCGTAAGACTGCAACATGAGTGTAAGCAAAAATGTTTTTTTCACTGGGGCTGGGCTCTCAGAACCAAAATGGTCAGCTCTGGGAGGAGGTCTTTAACCTACAAAGGACAACGGCTTGCAAAATGTCAATTTGAGTTAGTTCCTTTGCAGATTCACTGCTATTAAAATAGGATGAGCTATTCCAGCATGCTTTTTGCTAACGATTTTTCCCATGTTTCCCAAATTAACCAAGGAAACGCTTACATTTTTATATACTTCCTTATTATTCAAATAACATTTTGTTTAGCCCTTGATACTAAAATATTCCAGAGTAGGCTACTTCCAAAGTATTTGCTTCAAACGCACCTTCCATTATACTGTATTAGCTGGTGATACACTGGGGTGGGATTAGTCTGACAATGATTGTTTCAGTTTCCTGATTAGCATAATCTTTCATACACAGAAGGAGGGAAAACAAAGGAATTTCCAGATGACAATATAAATGCTCTGAAAAAAACTTTGTCCACAGAGATCTGTGAGCTTTTCGTGTGTATGCATAAGAACCCATCAGCATGAAACCTCTTGATGAAGCAAGCTCTTTGGGACTCCTACACACATGGCGAACGTACAAGGATAAGGTAGATCGTATTTTTTCTTTTCTTTTATAGTCTTACAAACACAGCAAAACCAGAAACTCTTAAACAGATGTCAATAGAAAAAACTGGCAAAAAGAACAACAGAGTTACTTTCCTGTGCTATGTATGGCTTCCTGTGCTTGTAACCATGGAAAGATAGCAGAGGCTCATTTTTCAAACCTCACCAAAAAAAAATTTCCAGACAAGCATGCAAAATAGGTTTCTGCAGCGAATAAACATGTAAGAAGAAAGCCTCACCCAGTCTTCAGCGAGAACAGTGCATCATCCACCCCCCTCTGATTGAACTTCACCATGTAGCTGTGCATTTCAGGGTAGTTGTTGCGAATGTTCCTCTCTGTGCTGCCATTAGGAACTGTCCCGAAGCGGAAAGGGGGTGAGAAGTCATTTGGTTTCTGGAACTGGAGAGACAGAAAAAGAACATTTCTCTCAACCTTTCAGATTGAAGCTGTCACCTGGTTGGGAGAACACACTCTCCTTGGAAGGTAGTTCTGATTTTATTTTACTATCGTGTAGAAAACATTATTGAGAAGTTATTACATTTCACTGTTTTCAAACACAAACATTTACTGTTAATGCCTAAGAACCAAGAAGTAAAACTGAGCAAGCTGTTCTTTTTGTCCACTCTGGATCAAGTGCATGAAATAGCCAGATCAAAGATTAAACAGGAGTTTAGATAAAAGGAAAAAGGAAAAGGAAAATGTAACAGTGGCTTTGGAACACAGTCAAGGAAAGATTTTCAATAAAATCTATGTGTTTTTTATCCACAAACTGTAATTTAGTTCCTAAGAGGTATCTTTTTCAGCTCTGTGTATGCCTTTGCACTTCCTGGTTCTGACTGAAGTAGAAAAATAATTAAAGAGGAAAGATGCCTCTCAGCACACCTCCCACCCGCCCCCAAATGAATGATCAGCTTTCAAAGTTTTGGGCAAATGTTCCAAATGAAATGCTATTAGTGGCTGCAAGTCACTAGTAACATTTGATGCCCAGAACATTGCTGGCAGAATACTCCAAAGTTTTTGCTGTTCACAAGAAATACATTCATCATAACATTCCCCCATGGCTGCAAGGTTGTGAGATTTTATATGGCACTAGCTTAACTTAAGTCATAATCAATGCTCTGTTGGCTTTTTTGAGCAGTAAAATTTAGACTGTCAATTATCAAGCCTGCTTAAAACCCTTAGAACCAGCAGACAGAAAGGAGCACAGAACTATAAGCCAGGAACAGAATAAGCAGTACAAGAAAAAGATGCAAAAGTAGGTTAGATGGAAGGAAGCCTCCTCCACTCTGGATATATCAAGCACTAGTTTGCCTGGTGTTATTTCTTGACTCCTAACTGTGACTGTATATTTGTATGAGAAACACACTAACAACAGTCAGACTAAACCCATTTAACAGCGAGAGTTCACCTGGTTCATGAATATATGCCATTATGTACTGTCACCTTCTACACTGGAAATACAGCTGCAATCTACAACTATAGCTTAAAACACATACAGATGAGCCTTCTTCTTGAGTTCTGCTTAAAGCCATTTTGGAACTTGGTCAACTCAACTAAGGAGGCCAAAGGCCCTAAAGCAATGTATCTCATTCACAGCAGTGTCTGTGAACAGATGAATACACTGTTCTTCTGTTTCCTTGTACTAGTCAACTCATCTGGCTGTGCAAGGAATTATCTCTCCAGTTTGGATGGCAAGATGAATAACTTGCAAGTGCACACAAGTGTGTGAGAGAGAACACACGTCCTACTGCTTTAAGTCAACAGAAAACATCAGGGCTGTTTTTTGGAACTCAGGTTGGTATATCACCAAAAAACCAGAGGTTTCACATATAATAAAACAGACAGTAAAGTGGCTCTTAGAACCCTGTCACACCCTCTAGGGATGAAGACAAACTCACAGCTATCAAAGACTGTAATGAAAGCAAACTTTGATAGGAGAAAAATCACTCCAGCATGCTAAAATTATTCTTTTTAACCAAGCTGATTAAAGCAGCAGCCTCGGGGACCCATCACAAGGAGGGCACTGCCCATACCAGATGCAAAGAAACAAAGTCTCTCCCTTGACATGCTAAACCAGGAGCTTGTAGAGGGGTAACTTGCTTTCCCAGAGGCTGCAGAACCCATCCTCGAAGGAAAACAGGACATTCCCATTCCCATAGAGCCCTCCAACAGAGTAAAGTCAACAGGACTTTACAGTCAAGCATCAGGCAGGCCTGACCAACACTGGTGTGACTGAGCTTTTGCATATCCTTTGAAACAGCAGCAGCTATGGGAGCCTCTCTCCAGGCCCAGAGACTGTTAAAGAGAAGAGGCCTCATCCAGCGTCCATTTTATACTTCTACCTTCTACCTATTCCCAGTGAAAGAATCTCTACTTTTGTCTGCTTCCATTATGGTGTCTATTGGAGTAAGAAGGATTATAGCCAGGCAGGGCTGTGATAAGGGAAACAATCCCACCCTTGAACTATCCTTTGACTCCTATGGTTAAGGGTCCACACCAGAGAATTTTAGCTTCAATGCCTAGGAGGAAGACAGATCCCCAGCTAACCTAGTTTGGTGTTTACAAAGTTGAAAGCAATTGATGTCCAGCTGACTCCACAGTCCATGGAGCCAGAGATAAGCAGATACTTCTCCAAATTTAAGAAGTAATAGTATGGTACATGCGTGAGTCTTTCTGGTAGGAAAATCACCATATTTGTTTCTTGGCAGTGGGTGGGCACAGCTCAGTCCAAAGATGGAGAAATCTCCAAAGAGCTCTCTAGACTCAGAAACTGTTACATCTTTCTGGACTAACTGCTGCCCCACACTGCTCATACTAAAGGAGCAAAAACACATGCAAATCTTTCAAGAAAATTCATGGGACGACAGATGGGGAAGGAGTGTGTGGCATCACCGTGGAGGAACGCGTGGGGTAACTGGAGAAGATCAATAAGGAAGAAAGTTTATTGACACATTGTCAAAGAGTTCAGTAAGGAATGCCACCTGTTTGGTTTCTTCCAAAGACTTGGACAGTGAGTCTGGATCATAAATATCAGCCCCAGGAAAGCAGACTGGTCTATAAGGAATCTGAGACACGAGGCAGGAGCTGAGGCACAGTGCAGTGGTCATTACATGGAGGAAGCTTATGCAGAGATAATCTCAATGCTACAGTAAATATTGACAAAGGAATTAACTATGGATATTGACAGAAAGGGTCAGAATGTAGATTAATGGGAGAACTGTCCCATTATTTCACTTAAGAGTTTCTCCTGTCAGAGCCCTACGTCAAAACTACTCTACCACATCTGCAAAGAGGAGTCCTGTGAGGTTCTGGCAAAAAATGTGGTGATAACAGGGCAAGGGAAGATGCACCAGTTGCTGACCAAACCCAGCTGCACAGGGCCCATACTTGTAGAAGCCCCCCCTCAGATTTTCCTGCAGTAGGAGACCTGTCCTGCTGCCTAGCTCCACCTACCTGAAGGGATGATTGCCTGGGAGGGAACCCACAGGGCTCAGCCTGTCCTGCACCCCAAGAGCCTCAGGCAGAGATGTAGCCCATTTGCATCCTCCCACTCATTTACCATGAGTTTGTGAGATGCTCCAGTTGTACCCAAGGTGATGTGACACACTCTCACCCATGAAAGAAATCCCACGTGCTTCACATCTATTGTGGGCGAGGTGAATGCTGGGGATGAGGGTGGGAAGCAGACACCAAGCATGCCTGAAGGGCTGGGGTAGCTCTGGGACACGAGATGTCAGTGTTCAGAGTCCAGCAGCTGCGTGCCTCTTCAACCCTTCACTCCACAAACTGAAATCTTGAAGCATTAAGTGCAAAGCAGACACTGGCTTTGGAAAACCAACCTCTCAGTCAGAGAGCAGAAATCTTCCTGCTCTGGAGAGCGATAAACACACAGGCTGGGAGCTCTATTAGCACATTCAGGGGGTAGAGATCCTTTCCCGCTCCCCTCCACATCTCACCATGAGAGCTGTTGACAGCAGCAGTGAGAGCGAGTTTAAGTGACTTGTCTGGCAGAGCTGTTTCATTAGCAATTTGGAGCCATGCCGTGCAGAAACCAGCATTGTTCTCAGATGTTCGAATATCAATCTGCATAATGAAACAGGTGACAGGAGCTCTTCCCATTCATGCAGCCGCAATTGGAGGGGATTCAGATATGAGGGGAAGGGGTTATGTCTAATTGGCCACAATTAATTTGATGAGAATCTTTTTTCCATTATACTGTCTATCACCAAATGGTTCTTACAGAAAAGCACATCTGCACTTATTTATCTGCCTGATGTAGACCCTGTTTACACTGTAAAGTGTTTGCCAATAGCATCGAAAGCAGTTTCCCAAATTCAGCAAGCTCTCACAACAAAAAGGCTCTTTTTTATCAGTTGATCTACTTTTACACTGCTTAAAAAAAAAATATCCCCTGCTGGAATATATAATGAGCTGGCAAAACTTAGTGCAGGTGTGTATGTGTGTATCTGCAAATGCCTTACCCTTAAACAGCTTCTCTGGGAGGGCTCCTTACACTTTGTAAGGCCCAGATCCCCAGTTTAAGTTTTCTACTATAGGAAGCTCCACAGTTCTGACCTATTAAAATAAGGTCCACAGATTCAGCTCCTTTTCTAGCTGCAAGTCCAAAAGACCTTAAGCCCATGTTAGATACTCTCAGTTTAGTTAATTTGCCCAAACTTAAGTGTCAAGCTGAGATACCAAGGGAATTTCACCCTGGGAGCAGGTCTCTCATAGTCTCTGTGTCAGAATTGCCAGACACCTGAGGGTAGGCTGGATACTCCAGTACACCTAAATTGGCTCTAGACATCTACACTGGCACAAATTAATCCAGCCACTGAGCCATTTGGTCCTCAGGACAGCTTCTCCCACCAGAATTACAGAGAGCCAACTGCTGTGGTTAGCAAAGAGCCTGAAGTGCCCACCGCTCCCCTGAACTTGTGCATCAGGGCATCAGTCACGACCTTCTGCTCAAGCACCTATAACAGCACTCTGCTTGCCCTTTTGGCATCTGTAAAACCAGCAGACATCTGTTGTGGCACAGGCCAAATACTTTTCAAAAAAGATTGCATTTATTAGTAAGCTGCAACATAAGATTTAGTGACATCAGGTCAGAAAAGCAAAGTCCATGCTCAAATGCATAATTTCAGCACAACCTTTCTGCATTGCCCTAACATCCTTGATTGCCTCCTCTTGCTCTGCTTCAGCTGCATGTCTCTGCAGTCAGCTTGCACCTTTCTTCATTGCCTGAGAATCCAGCCAGGCTATTTGCACAAGAGATTCATTCAGAACTTGTTAAAAATTAAAGAGCGGGCCACTAGTTTCCAGGTCTAACCTTGAGGTAGCCCTATGCCTATATTTGAGTCTTGACATACTATGCACGTACGTCCACAGCAGCATGT